CCATATAAACTTTTGAGCAACTTACAAACTTGAATGAGTTTCCCTTTGGTGTAACCAGGAGGCTTCTTCATGTAGATGTCCTCATCTAAAGCCCCATGTAAAAAGGCATTTTTACATCAAATTAATGTAAATGTCAACCCTTAATTGAAACAATGACTAGAAGAGACCTCACGGTTACCAACTTGGCAATATGGGAGAAGGTCTCATTAAAATCAACTCCTTCAAGTTGTGTGTAGCCTTTAGCTCTAAACAGGCCTCTAATCTCTCAACTGAACCATCAGAGTGATACTTGATTTTATAAACATATTTACAATCAATAGGAGATTTACCAACAGACAAATCTGTAAGAATTCAAGTGTTGTTGGCTTCTAAGGCAGCCAATTCGGTGTCCATGGCCTTGCACCATCCAGGGTGAGTAAGGGCTTGTTTATATGATTTGGGTTCAAAATGGGTAAATATAGAAGTGGAAAAGGCTTGATAAATGGGTGAAAAAGCATGATAAGATAAAGTATGAGAAAGAGGAAAAGAGGTACCTGGGAGAGGGCCAAGCTTCGTGGGCAGCAACCAGTTGGAAGAAATGAGAGTTGCCTGTTGATAGTGGAAGTCCTACAGAAATTTGGGTGCAGTCCTAGTCCTGGTTGACCTACGAGGAAGAGGTGGAAGGGAAGGAAGGGGTGGGGGTGAAGATAGGGTGGTAGGGGGGAGAATCTGGTAGTATAGGTGAATGAGGAGCTGGGGGAGAGATGGCAAAAGTTGGAGGAGCAATGGGGCTATTAGGGGAGGGAGGCTGAGTAGAAGTGAGCTGCTGAGGTGGAAAATTGAAAGGAGATGGTGTGGTGAGAGGAATGGAGGATGAAAGTGGAGGAGTGGTAGTGGAAGACTTTGTATTAAAAGGAAAAACTCCTTCATGAAACACAACATCCCGAGAATAAAAAATTTGATTGGTGTGTATGTCTAAGAGCTTGTAGCCTTTTATGCCAAATGGATAACCAAGAAACACACATTCCCTACTTCTTGGAGCAAACTTCTTTTGTCCATGAGATAGAGTTAAAGCAAAACTAAGACAACCAAAAATTCTCATGTGATTATAAGTGGGAGGTTTACCAAAGATAATCTCAAAGGGGGCTTTATTGTGAAGTAAGGGAGTGGGGGTTCGGTTTATGATGTAAATAGCGATCAAAATAAAATCACTCCAATATTGAAGAGAAACATGAGATTGAAATTTTAAAGCACGAGCTACATTCATGATGTGTTGATGTTTACGCTTTGTTGGGGTGTGTCGACACAACTTGTTTGATGAATTATACCCTTAGATGTGAAGAAATCTGTCATGAAAAATTCTCTACCATTATCACTTCAAAGGACTTTGATTCTTTTGTGAAATTGTGTTTCAATTAAGGAGTAAAAACTTTTAATACATTGTCTTACTTCAGATTTGGTGTTGAGCATGTAGACCCATGTGGTCCTAGAGAAATCATCGACAAGAGTTAAGAAAAAGCGAGAACCATCAACTGCAATAATGGAGTGAGGACCCCAAATGTCACAATGAACAATATCAAAAGCATTAAGAGATTTAGTTATGGAAGTAGGAAAAGGGATACGATATTGTTTAGCCAAAGGGCAAACACTACAAGAGGTTGACAGAAGTCTAGAAAATGAAATGTGAATTAGAAGAATTCATAGTCTATTTTACAAGGAGAGCAGTGATTAAAAGAAGTCTAGAAATGAAATGTGGCCGAGCTTACAATGCCATAAATCAGAAACAGAAGCCTTGCAGGTGACAGAAGAACCAATAGGCTGTTCTTTACGGAGGAAAGCTGGGAAAACATCAACCAAGGTTGAGGGAGACACACCAAATCTAAGCAAACGATATAGGCTGCCTCTTATTTCACCCATCCCAATCATTGTCCATGAGGCTAAGTCGCTAAGCCCTGTATAAAGCATGAATGAGAGAAGAAAATGAGACAGCAGGCCGAATTAAGAGCAAGCTTTTTGGCATAAATTAAATTGAAATTGAATAAGGGTACATGATTAACCATCAAATTTGTTATTTTATTATATTTAATAATTAATTAATTACATATTATTTGTGATTAAATGTGTTAAATTCCTTAATTTTCTAGTTTGATACTTTTTCTAGTTGTTTGGTTTATTTTGCAGGTAAATTGATTAATTTAAAGTACTAACGGATAAGACAAGTGAAACAATCACTAGTGGAAGAATCACAATTGATAAGAATTGAAGAGTCAAAGTTGAAATAGGAAAACTTGCAGATATGACAACAATTTAATCTTTCTAAGAGTCTAAGTTGGAAGAAAATTCATTTAGAGTTGGATTATGAAAGTATCTTAAAAGATAAGAATTTGACACGTTTTCAGTATTTTAGTTATAACTTTTGACTCTGATATCCGATTTATTTGATTTTTGGAGATTGGAAAGAAGACTTCAAGGGCTACAAAAATATATTTCACGAAATTTTCATGATTTAACCTCCTTTAAATATGCGAAATTCAAGCTCGAAGTCTGGATAGATTTTGTACTTGCGCCTTAAAGATTTTATGCACGAGATTTAACCTTAAAAAACTTCTTTTTGGAAAGGAATTCCTTCCAAGCCCAACTTATATATTCTACCTATACTTACGGTTTATTTTTAATATAAATAAGGTTCTCATTTAGAGATTATTATTATTTTCTTCCCATCTGTTTTTTTCTTGTTTTTGTTCTAAGTTCTATGGCTTGCTAAAAGTCCAATTGAAGATAGGGAAGATACTTTCAATGAAGCACAATACTTATTATTGATTCAATATTCTTTTTAATGCATGATTTATTCTTTTAGTTTAATTCTTGTCTTTTAATAAAGTTTTTGCTCTGTATAATTTTTTGATTCGTTGTGTCACGTACATCAAATGCTTGAAATTCCCTGCAAGTCAAATAACTAGTTATTCCATGATTGAATTAATTAATTAGAATTTCTCATAAGATAGTTGATTTATTATTTGCAATAAAATAAGATTTACTTGTTAGAAAACTTGATTTATCATAGACTTCGAGCATGATGAATGTTTGTGATCTACAAGTAAATTCTTATATTTATTCAAATAATTCATTAATTATAACTTTTGATGTTTTCATATTATCACTGCTAAATATTCCAATTAGAATCACTCCTCAGTTGATTTTCAATTGAGTTGAAAAACTGAATCATTACTAATTATTGTGTGGATTTGAAAGAGTATTCCCGATATTTTAGTATTTCAATTATTGTTTTAACCAAACCATCTTTGTTCTGTTGGATAAATTTCTACTCAAACATATTTCGACCAATTTCTTTTTATTTGTTTTGTGTCTCTTGTTTTTCCAATTCCCTGTAGTTCGATCTTAGTTTTTCGAGATATATATTACTTTGCTCAACCTGCGCTTAGATTTACAATATTAAAGTTGAAGCAGTACACAAAGTACATCTTGAAGGATTAGAGTTGAGGAGAGAAGTACAATACCAATGTGAGTAACAGGAACATTTGAATTGTTAGGCAATTTAACCAAAGAAAAAGTAGTGGCAGTGAGGGATGTGTAAGAGGGGGGGGGGGGGGGGCAACAGATTATGTGATCTGTTGCTCCGGCATCAATGATCCAAGGTAAAGTGTGTGATGAAATAGGCGTGTGAGTGTGTGTGTATTAGTGGATAAACAAGTAGTCATACCATAAACTTTGGAGTTGTGGACAACATTAGAAGATGGGGAAGATTGAGCAACCGAGATGGTGGCCATGGCTGAACTGGAGTCCTTAGAATTCAACAACGCAAGGAGTTGACTGTATGGACTCATGGTAAGAGCCAGAGGCTCAGTAAGTTCCTCATCAATATTGGCATTGGAACAAGGTTGGGATGAAGCAACAGCAGCAGCAGGTGCTTTGAAGCAACCAGCATAGCATTTCCCGCCTTCAAGCAATGGGAACAACAAGGTGGGAGTTTCCTGCCTTAAAGCAATTTTCAATGGCCCTAAATTTTGCAATAAGTACAGGGGGGGTGGATTTCTGGGTGGTGGATGGGGAATATTTTTGGTAAGGTTTGGAGGATGGGAAATTATTTTTAGCCATCAGAGCCATAAGGTCAAAAGTGGGAGAGGGGTTAAGCATGAGGTGTTGACATTCTTCTTGTTGAATCATGGAAAAACTTGATTAAGAGGGGGTAACGGTTCAATAAGCATAATCTGATCTCGAGAAGAGGAATAAGTATCATTGAGGCCCATGAGAAACTGTACAATATAGTCTCTATCGTAGCAGGCACGAAGGATTTTTAGCTTACCACAATCACAATCAAGTAAGGGGTCATAAACAGCCAATTCATCCTAAAAAACTTTCAGACGACCAAAATAAATGCTAATAGAATCCTGACCTTGAGAGAGGCTAGCAAGGTCCCGTTTCAGTTGAAAAATTCGGGGGACCATTTTGTTGAGTAAAACGATCTTGAATTTCAAGCCAAAGAATGTGGGAATCATCAACCAGAGCAAGGCTGGATTTAACAGATACACTTACCAAATTTTGAAGCCAAGAAACTATGAGGTCGTTGCATCTTTCCCAGGCCTCAAGGAGTGAATCTGCAGCATCGGTTGGTTTTGTAAGAGTGCCATTTATAAAACCAAGCTTGTTCTTGGCAAGTAGAGCACGGCTGATCGCACGAGACCAACTGACATAGTTATCGGCGGTCAAAAGATCCGAGACCAAAGCAACGGCTAAATTATCACCGGTGTCGATGCGAAAGGGATTGAAAGGGTCTAAAAAATTGAGATATCTTTCAATCGAGGGTTTGGTGACGATGGTGGAATCTTCAGCATCAGAGGAGCTAGACATGGCGTGGATTTGGGATCGAAGGAAGCTCTGATACCATGTAACAGAATGAAATGCAAAGTAGCAAAAACAGAAGAAAGGCAGGGCAGAAAACCCAAAGAATAATGTGAATGACAATTTGTCATTTTCGTTATTTCATTCCTCTGTACAACAACCCACATAAATACAATTACAGAAAAAGAATATTCCAACAACCTATAAAATGAAAATACAATTATGCCCTTATGTACAACTCAACATAGAAAGAGTAAAATAACAAACTAAATTTCAGCATCAGTAGGCGCCTTCTCTTTGTTTAAAAGAGAGGACTGCATGATATTCTCCAATAGAATTCTCATCCTGAGCAGTGTTTGAAGAAGGTATTCTCAGCTCAGATAGGGGAACTGGTAGAGCTTCTTGGTTTAAATATTTGTCATGGAGCAGTTCCATTGCAGTAACTCTACTAGCTGGGTCAAAACAAAGTAGTTTCTTGACTAGATATTTCATCAGGGGAATGGTTGGGCAGATGTGCTTCTAATCCAATTGGAGTTTCTACTTTGGTAATCAGGAAGTTCCACACAACCAGGCCAAACTTCCACCGATAAGTTACCCAAACACTGAAAATTTGCCCAGCTGATCAATATCCGAAGTTCCGGGAAACAGTGGTTCTAAACTAAAGAGCTCTGCAAAAATGCAGCCCAATGATTATTTGATACACAACTGAAAAAAAAAAGGGTTCTTCCCTTCTTCAAGCAAAGAAAAAGTTTAATTCAATAATCCTAGAGCCCAAGTAACAGCACATTGGTAAGTACTAATTAGAACTACCACTCTGTTTCCATGATTGACAAGAGCACAAAGTCGTATCCATTCATTCCCTCAATCTTTGTTCTTACAACTCCAAACTAACCCACAATTTGAAGCAAGCAAGCAACCAAATTACATTCCAAAATCCATCTTAGTTGATGTACATAAAATCCCGTATATTAACTCAACCCAACTAAACAAAATCTTGTCCTAATATTTTAAGGGTCGGCTCTTTCGCCACTGTGCTCTATCATGGGCCAAATCACGTATATGAACGTGTCAATCAAAAGACTGTCCCTTAATTTGAGACTTCAGATGAGCACATAATGGCAAACCCAATATCAGATAAAGTTCATAAGCCATTTTGATTCACAAACAAGCACACAAATTATCACACACAACATCTTTTTTCAGTAAGAAAACATTTTCTTGATAATTATGCCTTCCATAATTAAACCGCACACAACATTTCGATTAAAAGACCGCTCCTTTAATATAAAACTACATAAAAAAACATACACAATAACATTGAAAACCAATTGAATTCACGCACACATAACCACGGACATAACAATTCACATCTCAATCAAAAGACCAACTTTTTGGCTACATAAATTCCAGCTAAACTATTGAAGCAAACCCACTTTGAACCTCGTTTAACAATGTCAACTGTTGATTCAAACAAGGTTACAATCCACGTATGTACTATATACCTGTCCAAAATCGGCCAATTTGAGTACACCTTCGGCCGAAATCAACAAATTCGAGGGTTTCAAATCCCGATGCACAATCGAATTCCGATGACAAGCGTCGAACCCCAAAAGAATCTGAACAACCCACCTCTTAATCTCACCCACATCAGGCCCATTTTCCCATTCTGTCTTGGCCTCTCTGATCAAAGACCCCAAATCGGTGGGCACATATTCAAGTACCAGCACAGCGTCCTCGTCTTCGGACCAGAAGTACGCGTGCAAAACGACGACGTTGGGTGAGTGTTGCAGGGTTTGTAACGCCTCGATTTCTCGGAACGCCGATTAGTAGTCGTGGACTTCTTTGAGAGCGACAATCGTCGAGCCGGAGAGACGCCGCGCTTTGTAGACGTCGGCGTAGGCGCCGGAGCCAAGTCGCCGTAGAATCTCGTATTTCGAGGTGATTTCGGGTCGAGTATGGATGCTCCAGCTTTTGGATTGGGCGGGTTGTGGTGTGTCCATTGGGCTTGGGGTTAATAATGGCGGTAAGCTGGTTTTTAGGGCTCGGAGTGTTCTGGTTTCTTTTCTTGTTCAGTGAGGAAGATGATGGGAAATTCACGTGAATTCGAGGGAAGGCACGTGGTTTTGGTGAAATGACAGATATACCACTTTGGTTTTGGTCTGTATGGTTTGGGCGGTCACTTTAGTCCTAGACTCCTAGGTTTTATTCGGCCAAACTATTTTTGTTTTGATTCGGCTGTTAACGATGCCAAAGACGGGGATTTAGGCTGAACTTAGGATATTTATTAAAAAATAACCTTTTTATAATTTAATCACAAAAAATTGTCAAAATTCAAATTTAAAACGTTTAAACTTACAACTTGTTTTTATTATCACTTAAACTAATCCTTAAGATTATTAGGCCAAACTTTAGCACATATGGCCATGTGCCTTATTTCGTTTGCTCTTTTTCTCTTTTTTTTTTTTTTTAAAAAAAAAATTACGATTCAATTTTTTTAGTCATGCACTATTACAATCACAGGAAAGAAACAATGAGATTCGAACCCAGTACCTTAAGCTCTAAGAGCAGGGTTATTAGGTGACCTGCTAACCTCAATTCTGTAGCTATCAATCTCATTTTGGGAAGCAATACAACATTGATTTATGCCAAACACCATCACGCTGGTTTAAGGGGCTTTGGCCTCAATACTTTCACAACAAGAACACCAAGTGACCCTAGAAACAGAATTAATGTAAATGTGCTCCCAAATTCCTCACTCTATAGATATCAATCTCATTTTGGTAAGCAATACAGCATTGATTTATGCACCTCACTATGTATTATTAGCCAAAAAACCATTGAACCAAGCATATATCTTCTGCAACCAGCACCAGAAAAGTAACAAAACCATATAACCTTAGCTTCATTGCTTGCCCTCGCTTGTGGAGATGGTAGAGTGAGCCACTGCCACAACCTTTCTGGTCTGGATCATTACTACCAATACCCGAAAGTTACATTTTTGGGTGAAAGATGAAACCCTTCAATATCTAAGGTGCAAGATTAGAACAAAATCAAAATTAAAATAATTTATCCGAGCTTAAAAGCAGATGAGGAAGAAAAGGCGACAATTAACATGTTTTTCAACACCACAAAAGGAATACATATAATTCATAATACATGAGAGAATGAACAATTCCCTCTCGAGTCTTGGGTCTTCCGCTGGTTAGTTTGTAGAAGGCATAACAATCTATTTCCATAGATCATCAAACCATGTCGCTGCACTACAGCTTAGCAATACACAAATGTGCATCCAAAAAAGTCACAGCCCTGTTAGGAACCCGGCCAATGGAGTTCACCAAAAACAATTGCAAGTGTAGTAGTGGGTGATCGACCATGGCACAATATATTCTAAGCCACACAACCTCCACAGACCATAGCCTTGCTGTTAACAAAAAGAATACCAAAGCGATTTAGGAGACAATGACGCATATATCAGTACATTATGAACTAGTCAAGAGCAAGTCATACTGTTCTCTACTCTTAGATAACCCTGATAATCATGACAAAATAAATTTGAAATGCGCATAATAATTCCACATAATCTTTGAATACATGAGTTCCCGTGCAAATATTCTAGAAGTCAATGTCAGTAATGCTATGTTAAACATCATAAAGCTTATACATTATGCACCTTTATTGATATTATCAAATAAAAGTATTTCACTAATCAGCTTGCGAATGAGAATTATTTTAGAATGCTAAACCTGCTCGCAGGTTGACACAAACTATCTCCTTGTTTCACTGAAGGATAGAACAAGAAAAACATAGACAAAGGTTAAACGAATAATGACAAACTTCACAGTTTTCTCCCACAGCAAAAACACCCGGAAATTTGTCTTTGGGAACATCTAGTCCCTCCCTGCACAATTCTTTTCTCTGTATTTGGCTACTACACAAGTTTCAGTCAGCATTTGCTGACCTCTTAATCCTTTTTCAATGTAATTCGAGAATGAATCCATTCATTTTAATGAAAAGCATTAGAAAAATACAGTACTTACACAATCGCACAACCAGGGCCTATGCGTCTTTTCTTCCTAGCCATTTCCTTCCTCCTTGGAGGTTGAAGCACAACCTTAATCGCAGTATCAAAAACAGCTTTGACATTCTGACCATCAGGTAGAACAAGAATTTTATTTTAGAAGTCATCCAATATTATATGTACCACTTCTAATAATAATTTCAAACATGAAAAACTAGTAAAAACTGGACTAAAGTGAGTGATACTCAAAAGCATTGTCAAAGTTCACCTCCTTGTAAATTGTAATGTACCTGTTGAGTCTTGGAGCTGCACTCTATATAAGCTGCTGCACCAATTTGTTTCCTCAGCTCCTCCCCCTAAATTTTTTGGGTCAGTTTAAGGTAGCTGCACAAATCTGGTGGTTTTCCAACAATCGAGATGATAAAAAAAATGAACAAACCTATACATACTTGAACAGATGTTATGATATTAGATCCCATATGATCATCTAGATATCCTCTGCCTTCGCGAAGATCTGAGGTAGAAGATGAAAAGATATGCTTCAATCTAATGCAATTAGCAGACCTCCACACATTCACCAGCTAATACACATGCAAACTTATATTGCAAATACATCATTTTTGTTGCATACCTAGCTTTGTTCCGACAAGTACAATTGGAACATTGGGTGCAAACCGACGAAGTTCTGGCATCCACTGAATAAAACATCAAAGGGATAACTCAGACTATGTGTTAGACTCTTAACAAAATTAAGAAATCTATTCATTAACTTCAAAGCAAGTATATATTAATATTTGGTTAAGTGCAACCAAAAATCTATTGATTAAACTTCAAAGCAGCTATATATTAATATTTGATTAAGTGCAACCAAAACTTGTAGGCTTTGTTTTGAATGAAAAGGATCTACTTTATATTTAAAAACATGATGTAAAAAAGATAAGTACCACGNAAACTTCAAAGCAGCTATATATTAATATTTGATTAAGTGCAACCAAAACTTGTAGGCGTTGTTTTGAATGAAAAGGATCTACTTTATATTTAAAAACATGATGTAAAAAAGATAAGTACCACGGGCTAAAGTTATGGAAAAGACATTAGAGCAATGCCGATAATACCTTCTTGAGGACATTTTCATAGCTCGCCCTACTGATTAAAGAAAAAGCTAGTACAAAAATGTCAGCACCTCTATAACTCAGTGGCCTCAACCTGCTGTAGTCTTCCTGACCTTTAAATCAAATATATAAAAGCGATTAGGCAGAAGCAGCAATGGACCAAGAAACCCTAACTGCAAACCAAAAGTACTAAGATAAGTCTGGAATATGTGTTTGAAGGAACTCAAAGAGCTCAATAAATGGTGGAAAAATACTACCTGCAGTGTCCCAAAGTCCCAAGTTAACAATGATCCCATCCACAGCCATATTAGCACTGAAATTGTCAAACACTGTTGGGATGTAATCCTGCAACAAAAGCCCAATATGTGTGAGAGAGAGAGAGAGAGAGAGAGAGAGAGCATTCTCTGTCCCTATTAACCCCACTGGAGAGTGTGATACTAAAATGCACACTAGAATTATTAATATACTCAACCTCCTGCCAAACATCCAAGACATTAGAAAAATGACAAGGTGAAATTCCACCCAACTACTTATTGAGGACCTAATTGTTATGTGAAAAACACCATAAAACGAACTTTCAAGAAAAACCCATGACAGATATTGTATGAAAATTCCATAGAAAGAATCATAGGAAAAAACCCACAGCAAAAATTGCAAGAAAAAATCACAAACTGAAAAGGAAAAAGGTAATTGATGGAAAAGGAACGGCTTTTATCAGATGGGTTTAGACTTTAGAGAGACTTACAGTGGGGAACTTATTACTGGTGTAACAGATGAGCATACAGGTCTTGCCAACTGCTCCATCTCCAACTGTCACGCATTTGATGAACTTTGAAGCACTCATCTTCTCAAATTTCAGCTTCTACAGAATGCTCTGTAGCTACAGGACTTGTATATCAAAGTCTACAAAGATTGAGTTAAAAGTAAAAAGTGGCTTGAAAGAAAAAGTTGAAGAGATAAAAGAGGAAGAAGATGAAGAAAAGTATCTTAAAACGGTGAAGAGACAATAAGAAAGAGTCAGATTTAGGTACAGAAGACCATCTCATATGCTTGTAGTTTCAAGAAAACCATTGATATAAAGAAACTAGAGAGAGAGAGAGAGAGGAGTCAGACGGCATCACTCACTTGTCTTCACTGCGCCCTGAATCCCTCTTAGGATCTCAATAAATTTCAAATCCAACAGAAATTTTTTCGAAAGGTATGTAATGGGACCCCTGTTCTCAAACGGCTTCAAGCCACTTTCTTAGCTGGGGTCCATCATCCATCTATGTATTACCACATAATTCATTTGTTGTTGTTGCCTTCTTCTGCTTGGGCAGAGAAAGCAACAACAACAAAAGGACACTATTTAACAACTCTTTCCTTTACTATTTTCCTCTTTAAAATTATTTATACAGGCTGGAAGTTGTTGGTTTGTTGATGGTGCTTAGAGTTTTAAGCCTGTTTCAATAATGGCTCGGATTATAATTCACCCTAGATTCAGACAGACTAAAATATAAAACATATCGGCTTCCTTGGTACTCAAAACCTCTACTTCTAATTCATAGCCTCATGCCCTTGTATTATCCTATGGGGCAAAATTTTGCTCAGTGTCTGAATTGCCGTGTGACATAGGATAGGGTAGGTCCACTTTGTTTCCATTTTATATTACAATACTTAACATATGTTGTTGTCCACAGTAGGGATGATAGTGGATCGAAGTGGGAATGGGGCGAGGGGGGTGTAGTCTCTGTCCCCGTACCAGCTTAAAAAAATTTAGTTCATTCCTGATCTACCCCAATTAACGGGTATAATTTTTCAGTAATACTATGCTTGTTGAAGAATGATTCAAAGTCTAACTCGGTCTCTTCGGGTTGCTAGTAGTGTCCGTATTTTTCTGAGTTTGTTTAGTCAATTGGAAAATTGATATTGTTGCTAATATTATGCTAGTGGTTGTAGTGGGTTTACGTTAGTGACTTAGTAGTCCATAAAATTATGTTCGGTTGTTTTTTATTGTAAGCCTATATATAGGCACATTTGCTTCAGTATTTGATGAATTGAATAAGACAGCCTAAGAGTTCAGACTTGCTATATTTCTTTGTTTGCCCTGTTTGCCTCTGTTTTTTGTGTTATTCATTTATATCTCCAACAAATTTGGTATCAGATCTTTTGTTAAGAGAGTGAGTAGAGAGGGTAAACATGTGAGTTGAGTGAAACACTTGAGAGGACAACCAAAGGCCAGCAACGACAATGCAATGAGTGCTGCACAACCACTCATCCCTGTCTTTAAGGGAGAAGGCTATGGATTCTGGAATATCCGAATGATGACTCTATTCAAATCTCAAGATCTTTGGGATTTGGTAGAACAAGGCTACGCAGATCCTGATGAAGAAACAAGATTGAAGGAGAATAAGAAGAAAGATTTGAAGGCGTTGGTGATTATTCAGCAAGTTGTTCATGATAACATCTTCTCACGAATTGCAGTGGCAACCACATTGAAGGAAATTTGGTCAACTCTGCAGAAGGAGTTTCAAGGTGATTCAAAAGTTATCGTGGTGAAATTGCAATCACTACGACGTGACTTTGAAACCTTGTACATGAAGAATGGAGAATCAATTGCTAATTTTCTTTCCTGGGTAACGACAATAGTCAATCAAATGCAATCGTACGACGAGAAGATTTTTGATGAAATAGTTGTTGCAAAGGTACTGAGAAGCTTGACTCCAAAGTTTGATCACGATGTTGTTGCCATAGAAGAATCTAAGGATTTGTCAGTTTTTTCCTTTGACGAACTAATGGGGTCATTGCAAGCACATGAGACGAGAATTAATCGATCACTTGAAAAGAATGAAGAAAAGACATTTCAAGTGAAGGACATAATCACCAAAGCTGCAGAAAGAAACAGTTCGACAAGCAGAGGCCATGGAAGAGGAGGATTTCGNGAATGAAGAAAAGACATTTCAAGTGAAGGACATAATCACCAAAGCTGCAGAAAGAAATAGTTCGACAAGCAGAGGCCATGGAAGAGGAGGATTTCGTGGCCGTGGTTGTGGTACTAGAAGAGGCAGAGGTCGCTTCGAGGGGCAACGACATTCCGGTGAGCAAAGAAACAACAAGAATGGTGTTCAATGCTATCATTGCAAGAAGTATGGCCATATAAAAGTTGATTGTTGGTACAAAGATCAGCAAGTGAATTATGCAACAGAAAATGGAGAAGAAAGTAGTAAGTTTTTTATGACTCATTTTGATCCTAACAATAAGTCAAGCGATGTGTGGTTCGTAGATAACGGCTGTTCGAATCATATGACAGGGATGAAATCCTTGTTCAAAGCGCTTGATGAGTTCCAAAAGTTGAAGGTGCAGNCTCATTTTGATCCTAACAATAAGTCAAGCGATGTGTGGTTCGTAGATAACGGCTGTTCGAATCATATGACAGGGATGAAATCCTTGTTCAAAGTGCTTGATGAGTTCCAGAAGTTGAAGGTGCAACTTGGAAATGCCAAAGAAATGCAAGTTGACGGGAAAGGTACAATGGGCATTAAAACTATCCATGATAACGTAAAACTCTTGTATAATGCTCAATTTGTACCTGATTTGGGATATAATTTGCTAAGTGTTGGGCAATTAATGGCTGCTGGATATTCCATCTTATTTGACAATAATGCATGTGTTATTAAAGACAAACACTCAGGTCATATGTTGATTAATATCAACATGACTCAAAACAAAATGTTCCCATTGGAAATTTCAAGCATGAAGAATTTTGTCTTTGCTGCTAGTGGAAAAGATGACTCGAAGNGTGTTGGGCAATTAATGGCTGCTGGATATTCCATCTTATTTGACAATAATGCATGTGTTATTAAAGACAAGCACTCAGGTCATATGTTGATTAATATCAACATGACTCAAAACAAAATGTTCTCATTGGAAATTTCAAGCATGAAGAATTTTGTCTTTGCTGCTAGTGGAAAAGATGACTCGAAACTATGACATTTGTGATATGGGCATCTCAACATCAAGGGTCTGAAATTGCTAAATGAAAGAGGTATAGTTTTTGGACTACCTAAAATTGGTTCCATTGAATTATGTGAAGGGTGCATCTATGGGAAACAAACTAGAAAGTCATTTTCAGTTGGTAAGGCTTGGAGAGCTTCAACGTGTCTCGAATTGATTCATGATGATTTATGTGGGCCTATGCAAACTAAATCTTTTGGTGGAAGTTGTTATTTCTTGCTCTTTACAGATGATTATAGTTGCATGAGTTGGGTTTATTTTTTAGAAAACAAATCAGAAGCCTTTGAGAAATTCAGGCACTTCAAAGCTAAAGTTGAAAAGCAAAGTTGATTTTGCATCAAAGTTCTTCGCACTGATAGAGGTGGAGAATTCTTGTCCAAAGATTTTGATCTTTTTTGTAAAGAAAATGGCGTTTATAGGGAGTTGACAGCTCCTTACACTCTAGAGCAAAATGGCGTCACTGAGCGGAAGAATCGAATTGTTGTGGAGATGGCAAGAAACATGTTACAATCAAAAGGACTTTCAAAAGATTTTTGGGCTAAAGCTGTGGCAACATCAATTTATTTATTGAATCTCTATCCCACAAGGACGGTCATGAATCGAACTCCATTTGAAGCTTGGTGTAGCACAAAACCATTTGGTCCTATGTCTATTGGAATCTCTCCAAATGAAAGTCAAGAGCCAACTCCTACAAGTTCACTAGCCGATTCCTCTATGGCGTCACCAAGTTCATCAGCCTCGGCATCATCAAGCAGAGACTCTTCGTCCACTCTTGAAGAGTTTTCGAATGAGACACCACCCAGAAAGTTTAAATCCTTGAGAGACATTTATGAGTCTTGCCAATTTGTTCTTATTGTTTCAGATCCTATAACTTATGGAGAAGCAGCTGCAAAAGAGGAATGACAGAGTGATGATGGAAGAATTGACAGCAATTGAAAAGAACGGAACATGGGAGATGATGGACTTGCCAGAAGACAAAAATGCAATTGGTTTGAAGTGGGTATTCAAGACAAAATTTGGTGCAGATGGAAGTATACAAAAGCACAAAGCTGAGCTTGTGGCGAAGGGATATGCACAGCAACATGACATTGATTTTGAAGAAATCTTTTCTCTAGTAGCTCGTTTTAAAACTGTGAGGATTGTTTTAGCATTGGTTGCACAATTACAATGGCCTGCTTATCAACTTGATGTGAAGTCAACATTTCTAAATGAAGATCTACGAGAGGAAGTTTATGTAACTCAACCAGAAGATTTGATGATTGAAGGCAAAGAGACAAAGGTGTACAAGTTGAGAAAAGCATTGTACAAATTAAAGCAGGCTCCTCGGGCATGGTTCAACAAAATTGATGGATACTTTCAACGAAATGAATTCTTAAGAAGTGAGAATGAGCCCACTCTCTACGTGAAGAAGGAAGGTAAAAATAATTTCATCATTATTTGTCTTTATGTTGATGATATCATTTATACAAGCTCCTCTAGTTCTCTTGTGGCTGAGTTTAATCACATATGATGCATGAGTTTGAAATGTCTGATATGGGTTTGCTGCATTATTTTCTTGGCCTTGAGGTCCAACAAGCAGAAGATGGGACTTTCATTTCCCAAAGAAAATATGCCAAGGATCTTCTTAATAAATTTGGCATACTTAATTGTAAACCAGCAACTACACCCATGAATATCAATGAAAAATTGAAGTGTGAAGATGGGGCAGAGATGGCTAATGCTAGAAGATTCAGAAGCTTGGTTGGTGGTTTAATTTATCTAACCCACACTCGATCCGATATTGCATTTTCTTTTGGTGTGATTTCCAAGTTTATGCAACATCCTTCAAAGCTTCATTTTGGAGCAGCGAAGCAGATCTTGTGTTACATTGCTGGAACTATGGATTATGGGATTTGGTACTCAAAAGTTTTCAATTTCAAATTATGTGGGTTCACGAACAGTGATTGGGCAAGTTCATTAGATGATAGGCGGAGTATTTCAGCAAATGTTTTTACTCTTGAATCAGGAGTAATCACTTGGAGCTCGAAGAAACAAACCACAGTAGCATTGTCGTCCTCAGAAGCTGAGTACGTTGCAGCCACTTCAGCAGCTTGTCAAGCCATATGGTTAAGAAAAATGTTAGCTGAACTTCAACA